TGAGATAACGGGCTGCTGAGAGCTGTTTGTCCTCCATCTGCATTCCTGCCAATTAATTTATGCTAATCTGCATCCAGGCCCACAAACGACTCGCTGATGGGCCGCAGAAAACATGGCGTCCGACTCCAGCACCATCATTCCTGCTCCTCTCACAGGAAACAAACCAGTCCAGGATTTCACTTCACGGTTTGATTCGTCTGCGTCATCCTCGGCGTCATGCTGACAGAGTTTGAACACTGCAGCAAACTGGAGCCGTTTTAAAAACAAACGCTCAGATCTGAAGGACACAGATTCATGTCAGCCTCTCTGTGGACACAGGTCAGAGCTCGTTGCTTTACTCTGATGGTTTCTCCTCCAGCTCATCTTGTTCTCATTTCTGTCAGATTTTCTGTTTTCTTCTGGGGTTCATTTTCACATTTCCCACTAAAACCCGTTCATCTCTGAGCAGAACCTGCAGGTCGAGGTCAGAGCTCCTTCCTGAACCGCATGGCTGCAGCTGGTTGATCTGGACCGGACCGGTGGAGGTTCTGCGGTTCCATTCCTGATGCTTTGGCTGAGTTACTTTAGATTTTCCCCCATGTCGTCACACAAGCGGAGACTTAAGATGTTGATTTAAAATTCATTCACAGTGAACTCCAGTATTGTGGATTTATTCTTGAAATCTCAAATTTTTACCCAAAATGTTGAGAAACTGAAGCGTCTGAAGGAAATTTCAAAGGTTTTCAGCAGCAGATTATGTTGAATAATTGTCCAAAGACTCATTATAGACTAAATGTTTAATTAGAGTATTTTAATTTGACCCTTTTGGATGTAAAAATATCATTTCTGTTGGATGTGGTTCTGCTCTGTCGATGATCTGAGGCTTCAAACGGTCAGTTGGACATTATTTAGCATTTGAGTGGTTTAAAGTTTTACTGAGTCAGCAGTTATGATTATACACTTTATTAGGACACTTCACTGGAAATCTTAGATTTCTAATTAAGTAAATCTGTTGGGACTCAAAGTTAAAAAAAAGTCACATCTCTGCATTTTGTATTTTTGAATAATTATTGTCAAACACTTCAACAGTTTATTAACCTTTTGGAGTTTGGTTCCCTTTTTTTATCATCTCTTCACAGACGTTTCATTTGGTTTAGAAAAACTGTCTTCAGATTTGAACATTTTCTGCCCCAAAGAAGAAAAACAGTTTCTGCTGCAGCTACGAGCTTCAAGTCTGGGAGGGAAAATAACGGAAAAAACTAAACGAGATGAGGAACGGGGCAGAGCCGTACCTTTCCTCCTTGCTGCAGTTAGCGTTTGTGATATCCAAGCTTTTACTGAAAACAGATTTGCTAAAAAAACAGAAAAAACAAAGAGGCAGGAAGGAAACGAAGAGACAGGAAAGGTGATCACATAAAGGAGGCTGACGATCAGCATGCAGATCAACAGACGACTGCAGAGAAACCAAAACCTCTCAAATACTCATGCAGAGGTCAGAGGTCAAACTCCACTAACTGGTTTCCATCCACTCATGATGTCATTTATTGGTTTATTTGAACTTTTCTTTTTCTGTTGGCCTCAAATATTTAAATAAAATCAGGTTGGTGTCCAGACTTTAAACTTGGCCCATCAGATCCCGACCAGTTAGAGGTCCAGTCTTCCAGAACCTCAACTCCAGAACACGCCGTCTCTCAGAACCAGTCTGGAACCAAAGTTCTGTTGGAAAACCCAACTGGGTCCAAGTTTCAACCATCCAGCTGTTGGTTTTAGGTGAATTCATGAGATCCAGAGGACAAAACGGTGGAGTTTTAATCTCAGCAGGCGGATGGAGCGGTTCTGGAGCGGTTCTGGAGCGGTTCTGGAGCGGTTCTGGGTTGGTTCTGGGTTGGTTCTGGAGCGGTTCTGAAGCGGTTCTGAAGCGGTTCTGGGTTGGTTCTGGAGCAGTTCTGGAGCGGTTCTGGGTTGGTTCTGGAGCGGTTCTGGAGTGGTTCTGGAGCGGTTCTGGAGCGGTTCAGATGGGCTCTTTCCCTGCTTCCTCTCAGCTCCATTGTTAGGACGTCTGCTGAATCCTCCCACTGTTAGGCTGACGACACGCCGCTCTTCCTTCCCGTCAGCAGAACGAACGGCTCTGGTTGAGCTTCAGCCTCTAGTTGAGCTTCAGCCTCTGGTTGAGCTTCAGCCTCTGGTTGAGCTTCAGCCTCTGGTTGAGCTTCAGCCTCTGGCTGAGCTTCAGCCTCTGGCTGAGCTTCAGCCTCTGGCTGAGCTTCAGCCTCTGGTTGAGCTTCAGCCTCTGGTTGAGCTTCAGCCTCTAGTTGAGCTTCAGGCTTTGAGTTTCCTTAAACCTTTAGAGTTTTATGGTTCGTTCACACCAGCCTGTCCACTTCGCTTCAACAGAAATGTGGTTCTCTGACCAGCGGAACCGAACTCTGATGCTAACTCTGGTTAGCATCAGGCTGGACTATGGTAATGAGCTTCATCCTGCAGGGATGAATGATTCTGCTGCAGGCGGCAACGAAACGCAGCAACAAAACGCAGCAACGAAACGCAGCAACGAAACGCAGCAACGAAACGCAGCAACGAAACGCAGCAACGAAACGCAGCAACGAAACGCAGCAACGAAACGCAGCAACACGTCTTTAACTGGCACCAGAACGACTGATGGTTTAGAACCTTCCACTGGAGCCGATCCAGTTAAAATGATTGTTCTTCCTGTATTGGTGCTTCCTGGTCTTTCAGATCTGAACATCAGTTTTGTGGTTGTTGTTTTATGTTAAATTTGTGCTTTTATCTTATTGTGTTGTGCGTCACTTTGTCTCTTTGCTTTATCAATAAAACTGGATCCTCATCCTCAGTCCATGTTGACGGTAAACTGGGTTCAGTGTGGACAGAACCGGTCGAGTTCCAGTGGTTTCCAGTTCGGACCTGAGCCTCAGTGGTTCTACTGGAACAAAGCGATGATCTTAGAACCTCAGCAGGAAATCTGGATTTTCCTGCTTGGACTCATAAAAGGTTCAATAAACCAAAATAATGGAGGTTGTTGTCCAGTGGATGGAAACAGGAAGTGGATTCATCCAGGATGAATCAAAAGGATTTTTGTTCATTTAATCTGAAGCTGCTTTCATGCAAACAGAAAAAAATCTGGAGAGTAAAATCACAGAAAAACTCCCAACATGAAACAATTAATCATATTAATGATGATGAATTGTTTGTTTTATAGCGGTCAACTAATTTAGTAATCGATTAATCGTCAGACTCAGAAAAAGGTCATTTGCTCAAAGAACATTTAGAGTAGTAATTAACACAAAGCTAAAAATAATTAAACATTTAACATTTAAGATAAAAATAATTCTGTCTGTAAATCTGCTCTGCCCAGAAATCCTCTGGTTGCATTTTTAGCTTCACCTGGTTAAAAATCCTATGAAGAAATTTACCTACTAAAGCAGGAAACCCTGACCTGACCAGGCCTACAGAGTCCAGATGTCAGCAGGTCAGATGGTCATTTCTATCATCATCATGTTAAAATGTGTCTTTAGCTGCAGATCCATCCTTTGCTATTAATAATCCAACTAAATGAATGCTGTTACTGACAAATGTTGACTTTCTTCTCTAAACTGAATTATTTGCTTATTAGGATCTTTTAATGTACCTATAATTTATAAAGTCTTTTTTCATCTGATTAATCGCCAGAGTAATTGATAATTAAGATAATTGTTCCTTGCAGCCCTAATATGTTGAGGTTTGCATCAGATAGAAATAAACTTCATCGTTATAATTTCAGATCTTGGTAAAATGAAGGAAACGACTCAAACTTCTCAGTTTCTCCTGATTCATCCAGACTTTGAATATTTCTGCCCAGAAACAAACAAACAGCCTCAGAGCTGCAGACGCTTCTGTCCTGCAGGACAGACAGCATGCTCCATGCACGCCTCCTCACACCGGCCCCCGACCCGGACCTGGACCCGGATCTGGATCCAGGTCCAGGTCCGACCCATTCTCCGGCACGCTGGACCAGGACCAAACCCACTGAGACCGGACCGTACGTCACGGACGACACAACGGATCATTTATTAAACTCCAGTTCAGTGAAGCAGAGAGTCGTCATGAACTGTTTAAATACATCGAAATGATCCCAGTGGATCCAAAACGATCCCAGTGGATCCAAAAAGATCCCAGTGGATCCAAAACAATCCCTTAAACATCTGATCGGACCCAGAGACGTGTTGGACCATGCACACCGTGCAGCCGCCGCTGCTCACCTCTGACCGTGGGTTGCCATGTCGATGGCTCGCCGCACCGGGACGGGCGACCCCCCCTCTGTGACGGTCAGAACCTCCATGGACTTCCTCTCTGGTCGCCGCTTGCCGTGGCGGCTCAGCATGGGCGAGTCCACGCGCTTCCTGGGAGGATCTGCTGAGACGGGACGAGAAGATCAACAGTTCAGGACCCAAAGGTTAAAGGTCACCCATTACACTTCCTGGAACAGGTCTATAGGAGATACAAACATGTTCATTACATACAAACATGTAATGAACAGACTGAAATTATTATTAGAGAGATTTCAGTCTGATCAGTTCTGCCCGTCCTGAACTGTTTTATGGGTCTGTCACTTTAAATCCAAATAAGCCCCTACAGGCCACGCCCCCAACTCAACGTTTACACTGTGAAAATGGCTGCAAACAGATGCTCAATTATACAACCGAACATCTTTGAAAAGCAGCAAAAAAAAAAAAAATCCGATTAAGAAACTTTTTTATCCAGTTATTCATCTACTGAAGCACAACCAACCAGAATGGATGAGTCAACAACAAAACGCTTGTCTTTTCTAGCAGCCATTGTACCAGCTGACCAAACATGCTGGAGTTCCTCTTGGGTTGCTAGGTAACGGGCTGGGCTCCGCTGGGTTGCTAGGTAACGACGCAGTTCCCACAGGATGTGATGTTACATGCAGGAGGTTTTTGAAACGGCTCATTTTCCAGACACCAGAAAACATGAACTTATTGCCAAGAAGCAGCTGAGTATTTTTTTAAGTGCTTGTTTTGTTTTTTGAAGCAGTAGAAACACAAATGGAAGTACAAAAAGATGCAAAATGTGACTTTTGCATAACAGGTTCCCTTAAAGTGAATCTGCATCAAGTATGAAGTGAATTATGGTGGAAAAAAACATTTTATTTGTTTCTCGTTATGTCCAGATTTTAATATTCCCCACAATTTTAACCAAAAGCTGAAACAGAAACTTAAACGTTTCCTTTACTCTGGTTGCCTGAACCCAGCAGACGGCTCAGGGAGCAGCAGGGACGTACCGATCTCGTTGCGCGGCGGCAGGTTCTGGTCCTCGTGGCTCGGGTATCTCTCCTTCCGGTCCAGCAGCAGGAAGTAGATCATCTTCTCCTGGTTGTCACTGAGAAGAGAAGACGGAGCTGAGCGGCTGGCGGAGCAGAGCCGCTGCGTCGCGGCCTGACGGTTCATCCTCTCACTCACTCCTCAGACAGCAGGTCTTTGGTCAGCTTGTCCTTGTCCCTGAAGCAGCCCAGGGAGTGCATGCTCTCCAGGACGTCCGGGTCGATCTCCTCCGGCGCGCCCAGCATCCTGATGGACACCTTCCTGGGAACCGGCTGCTCCGGCTCCGGCTCGTTTTTCCCAGCTCTGCAACACAAACGGCGGAGCTGCTGAGGAGCAGCAGAGGATTGTGGGAACCGAAAGGTGGAGCTAAATGTGAATACTGAAGCTTTAAACTCTCCAGTCGTCTCTGATCAACCAGGACAAAGGTCAGCGTGATCCCAGATTATCATTTCTATGTTACCACTGGTGGGCCACACTAGCTAGTCACGCTAACACCAAAGCACTAATAAACAGTAGCTCTGCTAATGCTAAATGCTACATCAACACAGTATTTACTGGAAGCTAATGCTAAAGCGCTAACTTTAATTCAAGGTATATCTGCCCACCAATTTAAATCTAACATAATAATTTACATGTTGTATAATATCCTTAGATATTGTATTTATGTTCATTTCTTCTACCGTTTGTGTTTTTTTGTTTCTTGCTTGGAATAAAATTATTGGAGGAAAAACAAACAGAAGGTGAAGAAAGAAATGGATCTGCTGAGTAAAGTTTTATTTCCTTTTACCTGGTAAACTGTAGATCAGGACTGAATTTTAACGCAGTGAAAATGTTAAAACATCCAAAGTGTTGAATATTTTTTACAGCAGATGTTTGGCGGTAGCCATTTTGGAGTCACATCTTAGCAGCAGCATCAGAAACTCTGTGCAGACAGTCCATATTTTCCTCTCAGCAACATTTTCTGCTTTTCTGAGCCAGAAACAGTGAATCCATTAGAGATCAGAGGAGCTGCAGGAGCTGCTCTCCTTCCTGACTAATGGACGCACTTCTTCGAAAGGGAAAAAAAAAAAAAATAGCTTTGATGACAGCATCATCAGCATCATCATCAGCATCAGCTAATCAGCTACGTTTTTCTTCTTTGCAGCTCTCATAATGAGAAACAGGTGAGCCCAGCAGGTTTGTACTTACAGATACCACGTGTGCTTCTGGATCTGCTCTAGCTGCAGGAGGAACCAGGAAACAGAGGAGAAGATTTCAGAATATTTGCCTGTTTTCTGACGCCGGCTCTTCGGGCGGCAGCTCACCGTCAGGCGCTTGGCGGCGTCCACCTCGATCATCCCCCGCAGGAGGTTCTGGCAGTCCGGAGGGATGAAGTGCGGCATGTGGAAAACCCCCAGCTTCACCTTCTCCAGGAGGTTCCTCAGGTTGTCGTCGTCGAACGGCAGTGCGCCCTGAGAGGAAGACACCATGATGATGATGATGATGGTGAGAAATCAAATATCTAATCTTCACCAGCATGAACACAAAGCTGCAGACTGAAGGATTAGATGATGCTATCAGCTCCATTTAACCAGGTTTACTGAACAGATGCACCAAAAGCAGCTTGAGTAAAACCATCAGGTCTGATCTGAATTAATGCTTGAACATGTTTGATGAAGTACGGCACATCGTCACTTTGAAAGATTTGAAATTGTATGTTTTTTTAAAGGTAGTGAAAATTTCTCTATACTCTCATTTCATCTAGAAATATTTTAAAGCTCAAACATAAGCTGGAAAACCAGGTTTGAGCTGTTCTTTAATTGTAATTAAGGGCCGCACAAAATCACTCCGAGGGCCACAAATGGCCCCCGACCCACATGTTGGACCCCCGAACTGAACCATCCCAGTAGAGTGGTTTCCTCCAGGACTATCCTGGATTTATCTCCCATCAGCATGATACTGCCACCGCCGTGCTGTGGTCTCATCTCTCAGAACCGAACCGGCTTCGGGTTTGAAGAACTCGATTCACTTTGAAACATTTTCTGTCTCTGATCGCGGATTTGTTTCTGGTTACCAGAACCAGTGGGTCCGTCAGACAGGAAGTGGGTCCGTCAGACAGGAAGTGGGTCCGTCAGACAGGAAGTGGGCCCGTCAGACAGGAAGTGGGCCCGTCAGACAGGAAGTGGGCCCATCGGCGGTGATGAAGCCGTCCGAGGCGAGGAGGGCGGCTTCATCACCAGATGGCTGTCGACACGGCAACGAGTTGTCACAACAACGCGGGCCGGGACATTCATCTTCCTGCCTTAATCAAGACGCCGCCACGCTTCGCTTCACACGGCGAACAAACAGCAATCAACTCGTTGCCGTGGCGACTCACTCATCACTGTCACGTTTCACCAGAGGTTGGAAGATGTTTGGGAAGCTCCTCTTCCTCATCATCTGGATGGAAAGTGAAGCTCACAGTTTTCTGGATTTTTCTGCAGCAGCTTCGATCTGATCCGTTTAATCGGAAAAAACTTAAATAAATCCTTAAATCTTCTGTTTTTATCGGTTTTAACTTCAGGAATAAAAGCAGCTCAGAGGGAAAACAGAGAAATCTGATGAAGATGCTGCAGGAAGAAGAAGTAACCATAGTTGCTTTGGTAAAATCCTGGTTACAAACTTCATAAACTTCATTTTTCGCACTAATTATAATAACATGAACATAAAGCAGATTCTGGTTTTGACTCTTTTAGATAAAACGTTTCTGTTTAGTCGTTTCCTCTCAGATGAAGCTATGAAAGGATCTGCTGACGTTAATTTGTTACTTTTCAATAACAGAAAGTTTTCCTGGTTCAGTGTTTCTATTTTCTGAGTTGTTGATTTTGCAGCTGCTTCAGCTGCAGCAGCTGCTTCAGGTGCTTCAGGTGCTGCAGGTGCTTCAGCTGCTGCAGCTGTTTCAGGTGCTGCAGCAGCTGCAGGGTTACTCACCACTAAAAGTGCAAACAGGATGACTCCGCAGCTCCATGCGTCTGCTTTCCTCCCGTCGTATTTCTCTCCCTGAATGAAGACAAAATGCTGCGATGAAAGATTCAAGAACTCAGACAAGAAGATCATCAGTTATTATTTCAGAAATTAAAAAGATTTTCCAGCAAAAAGATGGAAAACTGACGTCAAACCAACTCAAAGTTCAGCAGAGGTTATGGAGGTTCAGATGCATTAAGCAGAAATACAGACAAACTCTAACAGGTTTTAGTTCTCAGAAGATGAAATACAAAGAAAGTGCATTTGAGTTTGGAGGCGATGTGATGAAGAGGAGGAGGAGGAAGAGCGCAGAGAGCGGAGATGGAAGAGCAGCTCTTACTGCACAGAAAGCAGAGAAAGCACTCACCCTGATGACCTCCGGGCAGGCGTAGTGCGGAGATCTGAAAGCAGAGCAAACTGGACGTTAGTCTGGAGGAGATTCTCCACACGAAACGCGTTCACACAAAACCAGAGAGAGGAGGAAGAACCGAGACAGAAGAACAGAAAGAGAGAGAGGAGGAAGAACCGAGACAGAAGAACAGAAACAGAGAGAGGAGGAAGAACCGAGACAGAAGAACAGAAACAGAGAGAGGAGGAAGAACCGAGACAGAAGAACAGAAAGAG